TCTCTTCTGATCTCAATTCTTTCTTCTCGTCTCTTATTCTCTTTCCACTCCTCTCCTTTTCTCTTTCGCTCCAACCCTACTCGAGGCTCCTCACTCGAATCTACTCGTAGCCGGGTTTTTCGCTTCTGTTTTCGAGCTCTTCTTCCCTTTTTTGTCGCTTCGCACACCGTTTGGCACCCACCTCTAGTCACTACACCCTTTGCTAATACATCTTTTTCCCCTAACCAGCCCGTCGCGACACGACAAATCCGATGCTAGGCCTAACTTTCTTTTCCTCTGTATATCTGTCTGTTTCCCGCCTGTCTGTCTGTCTGTCTCTCATTGCAGACTGCCAACATATTTCTGATATAAGAGCGGTCTGTCTGAATTCCTTCATGATTTTCTGTTCGCCTGTATATTCCTGCATATGTTTGTTCGTTTGCTTGTTTTTTCTTTTGTCTGCCATAATGGGTGCTTCATTTTTCAAATTGTCCGCGTGTCTGTCTGTACAGCTTTTTGATTGTCTTCTTGCCTGTTTGTCCGTCTATCAATTTAATATATTTTTGCTATATTTCGTTAATTATGGATTCTTGCTTTCACGACGATACAGACGAAAGCTTAGCACAGGCTCATTGGGGTTGCAGGACAGTAAGCCGAGGACTTATTCGCAAAATCAAACATTCCTCACTACGCGGCAATCTTGATTCGATTTCCGGTAAGACCACATCAGGAACTCCTTCCAGCCAACTTTTCCTTCGAGATGAAAAGGGTCTTCGTCGAAACCCAGTTTTTCTTCCTTTATTTCATCATTTTGGTCGTGAGAACTGAATTCACCCTATTTCCTTTAAGGTGGTAAAGGACTGGTACTCTATACAATCTTACTTATGAAAAGAAAAAGAAGTATTTCATTCTGCCTGTCCGTATGTCCGTATGTCTATCTGTATATATGTCTGCGTGCCCTCAGGCCGGCTTGGCAACTTGCCCTCGGCCACGTGCGGGCCGATTTTGATACTGTCAAGTTCGGCCGATGCCTCAGTACCCTGGCCTCATGCCATGGTCTAACCTGTACAGCTTGATTAGCATCTTCTTGTGCACCGACACCAGCACATGGCAAACATGACTTCTGCTAATCACCCTCATGTTTTACTAGTGTTGTCATCTCGTGTTGAGCCAGGCTTGTGGCACGCATTTCTATTTGGAAATTTAGCCTCTTACAAATCTTGCGGCGGATGAATAAGCTCGTGTAGGTGTTCCAGTCTCGGTGTCTCCAGCACAGTCACCAAGTCATCTTCACATATCTCTCTTCCTCTGTTGACGCCTGCACTGCTGCCTTAGCGACAGTCGTACCTTGCCTCCGTCACCCATCAATTCTCAATTAGGGGGTCTCTTTTTGCCGCCTCTGCGGAAGACATGTCTCGAAGGGTTGTTACTAATTGGTGCATTTCGCGAAATCAACCGTTCGTTGCGGTGACCTCATTCAGGCCTCTGCAACCCTTCGAGACCATCCGGGCCCCGTTGAATGTATTCGAGTGTCCAGGTTGTCGCATTACTCTGGCACGATCTTGACCACAGCCCGGCCAGTGTTTACGATCTCTCGTCTCGGCCGGCTCGGGTCTGTATGGCGGAATCTCCGGCTTGCCTACTCTGACTGATCCGCTAGCTGACTAAGACACGTAGTGGATATGAGAAAAAAAAAGGGTTTCAAAGACTTCCTTAGTGATTTATTGTGACATGACTTTCCATTTCGTCTGTCGCAGTGCAGACGAAAGCATAACACAGATTCATCGGGGTCACAGGGTGATGAGCCGAGGACTTCTTCTCGGCACAATGCAACAATCTTCATTCCGTGGCAATCCTCCTTCGGTTTCCGTTGGGACAGTTTCACAAATTATTTCCAACAATCGTGTACTTCTAGATGGAAAGTCAAGCCACAATCAATAACTAAAATATTGACAACCTGTCTGACTGACCTACTGACAGGTTTAGTATATTGGTGTTATAATTTGTAAAGTATGGTTTCTTTATCTTATTGTGAAAGCTTATTTATACAAGAATCGCAGGAGGGTGAGGTGAGGACTTGACTGCACAATCCAAAATATATTCCATTCCACCGTAGTAAATCATGCTTCCGTTTCTGGTAATGACAATTCATAAATACCTTCCAACCGAATTATCCTTAGAACTGGAACATCGAGTAACAATAAACTAAGGACTAAATGACTTAATGATTAACTGAATGACTCACTGCCAGAGAGACTGATTGACTGAATAATTGACTAAATGAATGGCTGACTGTCTGAATGATTGACTAATTAACTGGCTGGTTAACTGAATAAATGACGGATTAGCTGATCGAGGAACTAGCCGTCTGATTGGCTAATTGACTTAGTATCTAAATGAATTAATTACTGACTGACAGAGTGACTAACTGAATGGCTAACTGACTGACTGCCTAAATGACTTATTGGCTGACTGAGCGACTAACCGACAGGTTGACTGATTGACCTGCTGATTGAATGACTGATTGACTGAGTCACTAATTGACTCACTAACTAAATCGTTAAATGTATCACTGAATGACTGAGTGAATGGCTAAGTGATTGAATGCTTGAGTAACTGAGTGACAGAGGGATTGACTGAATGATTGAATGACTGACAACTTGAATATTTGTAGAAAAACTGGGTTTCCAAAAATCCCTTAATAGAGCTATGTTGGAACACCTTTCATTTCGTTCGAAGAGACGAGTGAAAGAGATTCGTAAGTTGGTTACACCGGAGACTGTTGGAGGGGGGTTGCCTTGGAGCTGTGGATGTTGTTTGTGCGAATAAGGCCTCGGTGCATAGCCCTGCCATCCCGATGAATTCCTGCTGAGCTTTTGTCCGTCATGTGACGGACATCGTTAGAGCAGGACACCATGGTTAACGATAATTCACCTAAAACACGAATGCAATAAAGGTGACTGGTTTAAAACTTACTTTCTTCTTATATTCCAATTTGGTCCACTTAGGCATCTCATGTTTTGGCTGGATGTCCTATGCTTTGCCTCTGTATCTACTCATAAGTCAAATGAAGTGGCTACAGATGAAGCGTGAAATGGGTTCTTTGGAAACCGAACAGCTGCATCCTCCCCTCAAACACGTATACCTTTGATCCTGCAATGTTACCTCATGCGATTGCGTCCCATTGCACGAGGGCTGCGTGAGTGCATTGCTCTTGAAATGAGTGAAACGTTAGAGTCAAAACCAAATTCCAGCCTAATCAAGTCTCATTTTGCTCGGTGGTAGTTCTCGTTCCCCCTCTCTCTCTAATCCTATCCAACAGCCACAAGTAGTTTTCGCTTGTTAGGGGGACCTTGAGTAGATACGAAGAGAAACTTGGTTTCGATTAATCTCCTGAGATAATATTGTTAGGGGGACCTTCATTTACTAGATACGAAGAGAAACTTAGTTTCGATGAATCTCCTGAGATAACATTGTTAGGGGGACCTTCATTTCAATTGAAAATACATGAAGAAGAGATTCGTTTGTCGATCTCACCAGATGAGGACGGATGAAAATCGTTGTACTGAAGCT